ATCTCACAAAAATGATGTTCTAATGGTGTTATTTACTATGAACATAAGTAACTAGAGAAAAAAAGGTCTCCAAATTATTGGCATTTCATAAGTAAGGATTATAATTTCAGAACTAAAATCCCTGAATGTGAATCCCTTCTATGGTTGTGATTCTCTGCAGTCCAAACCACAATGATGATCACATCAAGTACTCTGAATTTAGATGAAATTTATAATCATCTCTTGGTTGAACGACACATTACCATCAGAACGTTTGTAACATTGAGCAACTCCAGACTCAAATCCTAATGTAGAGTAGCAAAACAACTGATCAAGGTGGCTATTCACAGTTACTGATATGATTTTTGATTCTGATCAGTAAAGGGACTGAACTAACACAAAACAAAAGACACACCTTTTGTATTTACATTAATGTCATTTTAATGGGTTGGGCTTTTCAGCTTGCTCTACACAGCTATTTAGGAAGTTCAATAATAATTAACAGACTTGATAACTTCTGACTGTGGGAGAAAGACAACATAATGTCCTCCAGAAAGAGCTGGAGGATGGCTGCCTGTTTACCATTCAGATAATTAGGAGTGTTGGACAGATGAGTATCTGGTTTATTTATTTGTTCTTTTGAAGTCTTCAATTAAATTATGGTTAATACAGACCAGTTTGACAGTGAAAAATATACTTCCTTTCAGAAAATATGAAGCAATAATCTACTGCTCCAATGTTGGGGTGCTGAATGAAACTAAGCAATAACAGTTTTTGAAAACATACTGTTGAGATACAAAGCTCCCAGTAGTAGAGAATTTAGCTAGGGTCTTTTTACAGTTGTACACATGGCTTATGTTCTTTTTGCTTCTTACAGTTCTTTTTCATATAGAAAATTAAATTAAAATATTATGTTCCAGTCCTGAAATCAATAGTCTAATCACATTGTTTTCAGTGTGCTTTCACTAGCAATTCCTTTTTAATCTCTATTCTTACTTATCATACAAGATGTGTCCTGGCAAAGATAGCAGACTACTCCCTTGTTTCTTGGTTGTCAGTTAAAATACAGTTGAGAAATGCAATAAACTAGTAAAGTTCTATAAAGATTTAGTGACTTAGAGGAGAAGCTACAAAAGGACATTTTGGCTTCAGCAAGGATTTCACCTCAGTTTTGGGTTTGTTTTCTTGAGCTAAGCATACCAGACCAGATTCTCACGCTCCACCAAAATTTACAAACACCTGCACTCTTCCAGGACAGTTAAACCTTTTTTAGCACCACCTTCAAGCAGCTGCCACAGATCCTAGAGGACACTATACTTTTCCCTATTACTCTAATCCTTCCGTGGAAGGGTACCATCTGAGAGACACACTCCTGGCCTGCTGCTGACCCAGCCAGATGTTCCAGCTGTATGCTGCAGCTGCCACCTGTGAAAGAGCTGAAACTAGCAAAAACACTCAAGCAAGTGGGAAACCAATTGGCAGGCTACCAGAGACAGACAGACAGGAGGGGATTAAAACCCTAGTACAGAAGATGACAAAAAAAAAAAAAATCAACCCTCATGTGTGTGTGAAATGCAAGGAGATAAACAGAGACTTTAAGCAAACAGGAGGGCCTACAGGGGCTCAAGCAAGTTTCTTTCCCCGCAAGCAACTTTTCTGCTTTGCTAGAATCAGTTTAATAACTTCTCTTCTTACCATAGTTCCAGGGAATCGGAAACTTGTTCAAAACTAGAATTAGAGTGAATTTCTAAAAGGTAGTGGGGCAGGGTCAATGTTCCCCCTGCCTCATGGGCATTAGGAACTCCTCTGAAATAAGACTAAAATGGGTTTTGTGGTACAATGGTCCTGTGCTGGCAGCGTATGCATGAGCAATTTTTAGTCTCTTTTTATTCAAAAGTACCAGTGCGGAACTGAAACACTGATGGAAGCAGATGGCCCAAATTCCTCAAGAGTTTAGAGAGGTGAAAGGTTACACACGATAAGAAAAAAAACCACACACAGAGGGTGTAAGATCAATTACCTTTTCACTCAGCAGAATCAATGGAAGCAAATGCAAATGGAAGCAAAGAATAGACTAAAGCTATACTGACTTACAACACCTGAAGAGGTACCGCAAAACTGAATATTCTGCCTGTTCTGTCCCTCTTTGCCTATTATTGTCCCATATTTTTTAAATAATATCTTCAGACAAACTTATCACTGCTTGATGGAAAGGAGCTGACAATTTACCACCCACCATTGATAATAAAAAGGTGATGAGCCAGTATATCATTGTTGTGTAGCTGCTTACCTCTGATGTGCAGGGAAACTGAGTAAATTTTAAATCACAGAGATATTATTATATTTGTCATTAAAATAAGTTAATGTTGTCAGTCAACACCATTTCTGGTAACTAGTTTCTGCATTCACAGTACTGTTGTAAAACATGGAAGTTAAAATCAGTTGAATTTTCCCCTGTGGTTCTGAAATCACATCACCATTTTTCTGAATTACATTAGAGTCTTCATTCCATGTTTTATTTTGGGCGGGCACACTGTGCACAATGTTGTATCATTTAATAGTGGGATAGTAATGTCATTCACTACAATTAAAAATAAGTACAAACTTTTTACTAAAGTTTGGTTTTCCCAGTCCGTGCTTCTTTATTGCTAATTTGGTAATGGAACAAAATGTTACACTTGAGAATAACTGCGTTTCTTAAAAGTTCGTAATCTTACATGATTGTACATGCACACCTGTTCCCCACATTATTAGATCATCAAACTTCTTTTAAAATCTATTTAGCAGTAAATAGAAAAAAGCCCTCTGTTTTCCATTACTTTTATGAAGACTGGAATTCAATTTGTGAAAGAAAACCTTAATTAAGGCTTTATTAGTAAGAACTATGAAATTACTGTTAAATTTTGTTAGTAGAATTTATGGCTTGAGAAATTGCCTTTTATAATACTGGAACAGGAATATTAATAATTACATTAAATGGAATGTTAGGCAGAAAGTTCTCTACTGAAGAATATGATGGAACAGAGTGACCAAAGGAAAACAAAAGTGTATAAAAGCAAAAATTTTATGAGAAGTTTTAAGCAAAAAAGAAGAAAAATTTTAAGAGATGTTGCCATATTAAAGTTCTCAGTTTAGACTGAAACATTTGAACAAAAAAACTAAATAAAAGAGGTACCTAGCATGAACAGGGCTACTATCAGCTGAAAGGCAGAGAATACAGTGAACAGTTTGAAGTATTCTATTTTATGCTTGTATGAATAGTTATGCAATATATTAAGCTATATATAAAATAAATCTATTTTGCCACATTAAACTGTACCGTGGCAGATAAGGACATCTATAAATAAGGATAGAATATCTGCTGTGTTACACAAGATTACAGTATTGGACAGATTGAGCAAAATTAGGGAAGAAATGAGGACCTACAAAGACCTGTGCCGAAAAGTAAAGAGGAAGATGACCACAGATACTTAGTCATTTTAGTTCCAAAAAGAAGAGAGGTGTTAAAGAAGACAGAAGCAAACTGATGATATTCCCACTGTCCACTGCAGTCTCAAAATAATTTCTAATTGCACAGCAAAACTACTAAACCTTTGGGCACACTTAAGAACCCTAGACTGGACATTTTACAACCAGTATGACTAAGTTTAATATAAGATAGTAGAAATCGTCTCAGGCCTATTTCAGGCACTGCCAGCAAAATGGCTTGTTAAATGTGTTTCCTCTTTATTTGACAGATACGCTCCTTAGGCATGTTGCTGTTATCCTACTCATTTCAGTGAAACAAACACATTAATAACTCTATTTTCTCTCCACTAACACTTCCAGAGATCATGCAGGTATGAAAGTATGACCTCTGCTCTTTTCGACCTCACACTTCATCAACCAAATAATTACATTTCAAGTTCTTGTCTTTCCTGTGCCGGGAGGAAAGCTTTTGCTTTAAGGGGTCTAAACCAGTTGCACCGTAAATGAAAGCTCAGTTCATCCATCATTATTAAACATGGAAAAAAAACCCCAAAACACGAAGAGCTTGATTTTCACATCACAGGGCAGTTGTTCAGATGGCAGAAAGCCACATTCCTATTCAGAGAGCCTTGACATAACAGCACAGCAAACAGAATAACCACTGCATGCAATAATACATTTAGAGAGGTCATTACATTGTAGAAGTATGGTGAACAGCCCTTACTGTCAGGAGTAGTACATCTTCACAGTCATGAAAAGGACCTATTGGAATCTCTACCAGCACAAGTCAGACTGATATGCAAAGGGTAAGAGAGACACTTCGACACATGAGAAGTCTGACAACTTCAGGAAAGGTCAGTGAAATCAAAAAAGCAGGATCCTTTCTAAGTAAGCCAATGCTGCTTGGAACTTGCAAAGTTTGAGGAAGATTATTCTTGGTTCAAACCAGAAGATGCAAAAAAATACAAATGATATCTTACTTAAGTGAACGGAACTTCCCCCCTCCGTCCTGCCAGGGTATTATGAAATGAGTGGTTTACAGTCTTTCAAAGAACGACCACTGGAGGTATTAGCAAGAGCAATTTTAATATGATTTATAAAGGCATGACTGCACAGAATTCAGTGAAGGGTTCACTCTATTACTCACTAGGTGGATGAAGCATACAGAGGAAAACTGAGGTAAAATTGAGCTAAAGATGATTGATACAGAGATCAAAGGCACACAGGGCAAAGGAGACCATCCTGTAGAATCATGAGGTTCAGAATAGACCTCCTTGCTTTCTAAACTCTTGATGGAACCTAGGTGCAGCTGGATCTCCTCTCAATCTTAGATTTGGTCAATAGTATTCATCTAAAGGGTGATGCATCACCACACAGTGCAGGATGAAGGTAGAGACACGTAGGTGTTTTATATAATTTACCCATACCCAGTACTGAAAGGGAGATGAAAAAGGAGCAAAACCTTAGGTTTTGTTTGTTTTAAACAAAAAGAATCATGGATAAAGTTCTCTGTAACAGAAAATTACTGTGGTGGTAATGGTAAACGATCTTACCAGTAAAGTTGATGGGCCACTTGGATGCTCTGAAGAGAACGATTCAGCAGGAGTTGCACTAAAGGACTTTCAAGACTCCACTCAAACTTGAGCACCTAGCAGATAAATTAATAATAAGAATCACTTGTATGTTGGCTTTATTGTCCCCCCTTTATCACAAAATTAATCAGAAAGTCCTTAGTTTGAATGAAGTAATCCAATATATGGAGAACTCCCTAGTAATGCAAAGAGAAAGAAACATCAGGCTCAGGTGTCTGCCACTGACCCGTAAGATAGACAGGTATCATCCTGATTCTGGCTGTGTTAGCATATTTGTAAGTATGTAGCTTTTCTTCCCTCACTTAAAACTATCAATACTATATTTAAATTTATATCAGATTACCTGGTTTGCCAAATAAACTTATTTGTGAAACAGAAGCTGTGGAAAGTGAAAGGTCATATAAGTGTACCAATTTGTGAAAGCTATAAAGCTGTACAGATTCTACGGCTTCACAGTAGCAGATTAGTGGATTACATATATATATTAACACATGTATACATATATACCTATGTACAGATACATGTACATCTACACAGATATGTGTATATATGTGTATTTTATATAAACATACGTTTTAAAATGCATAAAACCCCCTGAGGAACTCTGGAACATAAAATAGTAAGCAATCCATGCACACAGTGTTACAAAGTAAGAGGATAAAAGTTTCAATAGTTTCTCCTTAACTGCAACACAACTACTCAACCACGAAGTGATTGCTTTGGAAGCAGTGGGTCCATAACTTGTAAAACATTAAAGTCTATTGAAATACAATGTACATCTACAAAGAGGCAATTCCATACCCAAATTTCCCTGGTTACTGTGTTGACAAGGATTTTCCACTTATATGTGATATTAAGAAAACTGTGATTTATTGAAACACCATTTGCTTCCTTGACTGCAACAAAGCCCTATGACCAACAGCAACTGGTTTAGTGGTCATAAAAGCATTTCTCTTGTTCAGATACCATTTTTATTTGCCTTTATTACTTGAAAATACCTCCTTTTAGTATACAGAAAAGCTCAATCAACATGCCAATACACTCACATTCTCTTGAGTGAAAAACAGTCTATATCTCAGCCTTGTAGTTAATTCAATCATTGCATCAGCTGACCAACATTTTTTTTATTCCTCTTACAATGTATCAATCAAACAGAAGTATTTAATGAAGTTATTGACCCAGACAGAAGAATTCTTCGGCTATCAATTTCTTCCTTACCTGAACCAGCTGTGGAAGGTATTCTAACAATTCGTCATTTGACATATTTTCTATTTGTTGGACTGCTGTTCTGCGAATATCTTTATCTGGAAAACTAGAGCAAAATAAATAGGTATCATTAAGAGCTACTGAACTACTGCAACTCTCCTGAGCTCTCAGTGATACAAAATGTTAGAAAACAAGCTTTTTTTCTCAAAATGAAGTAAGAAAAAAAATCAATTCATTTGTTTTACTGTAGCAAGAGTCAAGAAACACACAGCGGATAACTTAACTGGATTGACTGTTACAGTGTCATACAGGAGGAAAAAAAATTAACTTCTAATACCTTTTTTAATTTGAGCTATCATGTATTACAATTTTCTGGGATATGAAGCAAATTATGGATCTTCTTTTGCTGCTCTTACTTACCTGAAATAGAAAATTTCTGTGCCATGGGAACTTTTTAACAGTCACCTGAGGACTTCTTTTTTTTTTGGGCAACAACATAAAAGCTTAAAATTTCCAACACAAAAATGGTTCATTCTTTTAATTTATTCCAATGTCAGCTTTTCTGGTTCATATCATAATACATTAAAAAATATTTTTTAAACAGAAATGATTTTGAAATGGAAAACGTGTTTGCTTTTTAGCTTTCCTAAAGGAAAATTCAGTGAAAAATCAACACCTTCCCCCACAAACACACCAAGTCAGTGAAAAAGCCGTTTCTGATGGGAAAATGATTGAGTATTCAGCATAAGCTGTAGTCTTAACAAATGCTGGTTGAAGCAAGAGTAGCTGTAGCCTAATATAGATTTTGTGATAGAGCTCTAACCACAAAAATTATAAAAGAGGAAAACACAGTGTAGCAGCAATGATTAAAAAAGGGACAGCAGGCTGGAAAATATAACTGGTCAAAACATAGTTTTTAAATAAGAAAAAGAATGAAACCTTGATGTAACCTGACTGATCAAAACTGACTCTTAACAGAACATTTGTTCTCATTTCAGAAAAAAAGACAAAATGTACACAGTGTTTTTGTATACATTTCTGAAAAATAACCTTTTAAGGACTTTTTCTGAAAAAAAAATACAAAAACAATTTCCACCTTTTAAATGTGTTGCAGTTGTGACATTAATCGTGATAAAGGGAGATTTTCATGTACACACAAGTTGTCTACCTTGGTTCACAGTTAGCTGTTCTGCTACTGTCCTGCTTTCACACGGAAAGAAACACGTGCTCTTCTGTGTATGTCTGCTATGTGCTGTCACCCTTAACTATGTGTTAGCACTTGAAGCTTATCCAATCTTTTCTGTCTTCTCCTGAGCAGTCTGGAAATGTTTACACAGACCTTTAGTTACCAGAGCCGTAAGAATGGTCATCTCTGTCTAAGAAGCAAAAATGTCTTCAAACAGCACTACAATCAATTAGATGTTTGAAAGAGCTGCTGTGCTTTGATCCAGTTCTCTGAGGGCAAGTACCTGCCCCACAAAAAGCCGTGAATGCCTTTCCTCTGAACTGATATGGCTAATAGCTCTTTTGAAAATCTCTGATTTGGTAGTCTAGGCATACATAATAATGACACCTGAAGGACAGAGATTACCCTGTCAATTCATGCTGGAGAAACTCCTTTGAAATCAGAACCATCATGTATGGCAGCAGGTGTAATGCAGCCACCAGAATTACTGCTTTATGAACTCAACAGTAAACCAGACTTTTCTCTTCCAGGCTTCCCATCCAGCCCCTCTTGACAACAATACACCCACTAGAAAAATAAATCAGAATTAAAACGTGGGAGAGAGTACCACATTTGCAGCAATGACTGCTCATTGCTATCAAGAGAGAAAGAGAAGAAATTATAAAGGTAAGTGCTCAGAAGTATAATGGCACCTGCAGCTCTGAACTTGAGCTTTTAAGTTCAATAAAACAAGCTGAAGCAGAACAGTATGCACACTTTGATCACCAGATTAACTATAGGCTGTCAAAAGAAGTGGATATTTGGAAAAAAAACAGCTAACAGTTGGACTTGCTTGAAAGGCTTCGCTTTCAGTGCTGAAATCAGCTGCTACCTCTAGCAATTTCCAACCCCCTTTTAACCATGCAGCTCAGGTCTAACTTTATTATTTTGTTTGTCTGTGGTAGTACATATTTGATTATGTTTTTAATACAGTTCATAATTGTTTGCATAATGCTAAAAGGGCCTTGATGGGGATAGAGGGAATACATTATAAATAAATTATCATGATAGCCCCAAATTAGCCTGTCTTGCCAGGATTATTTATTTATTTATTTGAGGCAACCTATTAGGAACATGAAACTGTTACTTGAATATTCACATGGCTATTTGGAACAAAACATATTTGAAGGAGGACTGGATCCTAAAAGAAAAAAATCTCTTTCATATCATCCTATCTTCTAGTTACACGACTGCTCTACAGGTTTGTGTGCCAAGCATGTATAAATATAGGTCTTTCCTTTTCCCTTCTCACCTAGTTCAACAGACTGCTGAACAGTAAATTATGCCCTATACAGGCACCAAGTCAAGCAGAAAAATACTACTTAGTTACTGCTTGTCTTTACTAGTACCCAACATTTGAATATATGCAATGCTATTATGAAAAGCCCACATTTTTACAACTAAACAAAGAACAATAAAATTATTTTGATCCCAACCTTTCCAGAAAATTCAAACATTAATATTTGATTAGTTTAGAATTAATTTGCTCCAAGTCAAAATTGGGGCTACACCTGAGCTAGCAAAAGTATCTCTAGATGTGATTAAAATAATGATGAGCTCAAACGCATAGGCACTGTGATAAAACACCTACAGGCTAGTTTCCTTTGGGAAACATGGCTCTTGTCACTCTTCTTGAATGAGATTTTCATAGAATCATAGACTCAACTAGGTTTGAAAAGACCTTTAAGTTGATCAAGTCCAATCATTACCCCAGGACTGTCAAGACCATCACTAAACCGTGTCACTAAGGACCTCATCTACACTGTTACTGAACACCTCCAGAAACAGTGATCATCACTCCCCTGGGCAGCCTGATCCAATGTCTGAGCAACCCCTCAGTGAATAAATTTTTCTTAATATCTAACCTAAACCTCTCCTCCGGCAGCTTGAGTCCATTAACTCTTCTATTGCTTGTACTCAGAACAGACTGACACCCGGCTCACTACAACCTCCTTTCAGATAACTTCCCACCTCTCTTCTTCAGACTAAACACTCCCAGTTCCCTCAGCCGCTCCTCATCACACTTGTGCTCCAGACCCTTCACCACCTCCCCTGCCCTTTTCTGGACCTGTTCCAGCACCTCAATGTCTTTCTTGTAGTGAGGGGCCCAGAATCAAACACAGTGTTTGAATTGCAGCCTCACCAGTGCTGAGGACAGGGGGATGATCACTGCCCTGGCCCTGCTGTTACAGGCTGGGATGCCATTGGCCTTCTTGACTGCCTGGGCAAAAGCTGGCTTATGTTCAGCTCTGTCAATCAGTATCCCCAGGTATTGTGAGCAGCTTTCCAGCCACCCTTCCCCAAGCTGGAGCATTGCATGGGGTTGTTGTGGCCCAAACGCAGGATCTGGCACTTTGCCTTGTTAAGCCTCATACCATTTGCCACAGCCCATTGATCCAGCCTGTCCAGACCTCTCCGCAGAGATTTCCTATCCTTCAGCAGATCAGCACTCCCACCCAACTTGGTGTTGTCTGCAAATTTACTGAGGGTTTGGTAATTTGTTGGTCATGATTACTAAACTGCTTCTTTCAGCTCATAACTACTGAGGTCAGCTTTGAATATTTGTGAAAGAATGGGTAGTTTACACATTCTTTTAACTACCTGACAATTTGTTAGGCCCCAGATGCAGTATCCACTCTTGTCTTGAATTTCAGTGTTGGAAAGGGCCACAGGTACAATATTTTGTTTGGTTTACCCCTTACATTTGAATTTGAGCAAACATTTAACATGATCAGGAACACCAGAACTACAGCAAATACTTATAAACTCAACTTATATTTCATGGTGCTTATGCTATTCATGCTTATATACACCAGTTTATTTGCTAAAACCCAATAACAGGGTAAGGTCTAGAAGCAGATCTGAGTAAAAAATCCTACACTTCACTTGCCTGGAAACTACACCATCTTTTAGTCTCGTAATTAATTAGGGCTAGAGGGTTTAATTCCAGTGAATAATCTCTCAAACTTCTTAGCACTGCATCAAATCTAATTTTAGTAATCCATAAATTAGTCTCAATTATAGGATGCAATTAATTGATTTTTTGGCTCTCTGACTCAATGCAAGAGACATTACTTTAGGCCTGAGAAAAACACCTCCATTTGGTGGACATTTTCATTTCATTTTAGCGGACAGCTGTTTTCCAGGGCTTGCTACAATGAATACGTAACTATTTACACATAATGAAAACTCTAGAAGCAGAGAAGCAAGATGACTGTATTACAACAAATTCAATATTCCACTCTTTAAGGGTATTCTTCTAAGAAAGAGAAGCTCATCTGTATCACAGCTCATCTGTATCAGATCAATTTTGCAAAGGATTTGGACCATGGATTTATCAGGTTCCTGACATGTGTCTGCTGATAATGGCTTCAGAGGCAGGAGATTAAGGCACTCCTCTTCCCTAACTGTTTTATGGTTGCTACCAAAATCTCTGATAATTTAGCTAGAAAAAAAAGCAACTTAAGCCAAAAACCTTTAACAATACTTATATGTCTCACTCTTTATGGGAGCTTTCATCCAAGTTTCCACTTACTGTATTTATTTTTTTTCTTGGAAAAAAAACCAAAGCTACTGGTCAATGAATAAGTAAATAGAGCTACAGTGATCCTCATTTATTTGCTTGTCTGCATTGTAATATACTGTAGCTTTCTCCTTTTGGCCAATTTTATTTGTTCTCTCTTCAGGTAATGAGTACTCCATAACAAAGACCGTGACTTCTTACAAGTTTTTTTTCCAGTTACACACTCAGGGACACTATTGAAAAATAATACGCAAATAATAGCTGCAGAGTCCAGTTCTTAGCAATAGGTCACGCTATGCATGACTTCAAATTCCCTTAGTAGATTGTCAGGTCTCCCTTGAGACTTAGTTTCTGTAAA